GGTGGCACCTTGATTGAGTATTCTTATTCGTTGGACGCCATGTATGCATGACACCACTAGTCTGGCCACTATGAGGAGATGTTGGTGGCGTCAAATCTCTTCATCCGTATTGGCCATATTCTATTCTCTTCGAGAACATTGGTATTGATTTTCCTCAATCCGAACTTCGAAGTTGTATTCGACATAGCTTTCAGCATATCTCATCATGATTTGCGGTTCCAATTGCTTAAGCCTTCCTTTCTCCTTTTACTTTTCCTTTGCCTTGGCCTTCGCCTTACTTGCTGAGAGCTACATGCTGCAATGGATGTAGAAAGTGTCAAAAGTCGTCATTCTCCTAGGAACGCAACAAGTACAGATTGTCTCTTCTGGGGGTTCCTTGCACAAATCATTGCAGCACCATATTTCCGTCGTGGTTCGTTTGTGGCAAGGTGGATATCACTTGTAGCCGTGCGATATGTTGCGATTTTTTCCTCACTTCTTCGAAACTGAACGCAGTCTAAGCACCAACCAATATGTCCAGTCAGCTAGGTGTGAAGAATTGATATGCATCCAGACATCTCGAGGTCGGGAAGTATCCCAATATATGGGCTGAGAAGTACGAGGTAACTCAAGGAGAGAAGGTCTGAAACAGCCGGGAGAATGACGTCACTTAGGCGCATTTTTGCGGTCTTGGACATCCCCCTTTCATTTCATCTCAACCTCTTCTCCTTTCCTGACGCACCCTCGATTGTCTTCAACAGGCATAATCTAGGTTCAAATGAACGCTTGTTACGGTTTTGGATCGAAGCCTTACCAACGTTTGCCCTTTTCGGCATGGCGCCTGATCAAAAGATCGGAACTCGAAAGGAAGTATCGTTCGATCAGCTCTGAATAAACCCACCTTAACTTAGAAGCAAGATGGCCAAGATTTGTATAAGGATGCTTTTTTTTGGACATCGGCCTTTGTTTCCTCATTGTGATGCTTTGCACCCTAGCCCTATTTCCACTAATTTCAATTAATTTCAACTTTTTTGATGACATCCTTTATTTCAAAATTCGAGTCTCTAATGGAACTCTATTTTCATATTGCGCTCTCTTTTCGACACGCGGGTGGCTACGTCAACGAATAAACAATAACTCCTTTCAGTAAGATTTCAAGGGTTTTCCTTGCACAATGCGCAAGACTTTGCGGCTACAATTTGCATCTAAAAGCTTGAATATTCCCCTGTTATATTCAACCCGCACGCTGCCTGCCCCACATTCACTTAGCATTTGGCAAGATGATTTCGATGTCACTATTCGCTGCAGTATTAGTTACTGGGCTTGCCCTACTCGGTAGATCGGGAGCCCAGAAATGTGCTGGGGCCGGGGCAGGAACATCCGTTACTACCGCAGAAGGGTTCTCGTCATATCTTCTTGCTACCAACCTCACCTCGCCTCGAGGCCTCGTCTTCGATTTTGAGGGGAATTTGTTGATATCGCAGAGAGTCACTAAAGGAAACCCAAGAGAAAATGGTATTTTTGGACTGAGACTCAAAGATGAAGGTGGTTGTGTTAGCGTCGTCTCAAAGGAGCTCGTTGCACCGCATCCAAATGGCGCTGTAAGTTGTGAACATGAAAACGCGAAGGACGTATGAGAAAACTTACTCATGCTCGCCGACCCATGCAGCCCGAAGATGAACCCCTAAATCACGGCTTGACGTTGTCTCCCGATGGGAAGACGCTCTACGCTTCTAGTATGACGCATGTATATGCATGGTCATATGACTCCAAATCCATGAAGACCACTGGTGAACCTAAATCAATCATTACAGGGTTCGGTAAACCAGGAGGTCACTCAACACGTACGATTTTGGCCTTGAAGAAGTCTCCAGGCACACTGCTCGTCAGCCGTGGCAGTGTCGGGAATCTCGACCCTGATGCGCGTGTAATAGGTTCAGGCGCAAGCCAGATCCGTGCATTCGATGTGTCCGACTTGTCCAAAGAATACAAGTATCCCGATGGTGAGCTTATTGGTTGGGGACTGCGCAATAGTATTGGGCTTGGAGAAAATCCGGTAGACGGCGGCATCTGGAGCAACGAAAATGGAAATGACAACATGAATAGAACAGGAGTCCCAATACACAATGATAGCCCCGGAGAAGAAATCAACTATCATGGGACTATGACGCAGAAAAACCTCCACGGCAGCAATTATGGATACCCGGACTGTGTTGCAGTATGGAACATCAAAGGAATTCCGAACAATGTAGGCCTCTCCGTCGGCCAACAATTCAGTCACGATTTCTCTGCTGAGAATGACATTGCAGATGTGGAATGTCAATCGCAATATCAATCTCCTCGACTCACTCTCCCGGCTCATTGGGCACCTATCGACATTGCATTCAATTCCGGGGGAACAGTGGCATACATGACAAGCAAGGGGAGCTGGTATGTTCACACTATTGAGAAAAAGCAGTCAGGTAGTAAGAGCTGACTTACCACAGGAACCGTAATCCTCCAGATGGCTACAAACTCTTTGCAATCACATTTGAAAATGGTCAACCAATACATCCAAGCACGAGCAATGACGCTGTGATTCCCATTCTGTCCTCTGCAAAGCTCCCTACGGCACCTGTCCCGGCGACAGCGGGCAAGACCAACTCCGCTGCCTGTGCGGGATGTCTACGCCCCACTGGAGTTACCTTTGATTTGAAGGGACGACTTTACATGGCCAGCTCAGGGGAGACAAAAGGCGAGATCTTTGTGGTCGTTCGAAATGATGGCAGATCGATTGACTCCGTTACGGGAGCGGAGCTAGAACCACTCGAGAAGTCGATGTCGGTTCCCGCAATTGGACTAAAGTACCAAACTTTTGAACGGGTGTGAAGATAGTTAGTTTCAAAAATCCAAACCATCTTGATTATTTGTCAGCCACCCGGCTCCTGGATGTGCATGTTTAACCACTTTTCTTGTGCTTAATTTGTATGTTTCGAGATACTTTAGGATATTGCTAAGAAATCAAAACTTGGAGGCATATCCCGTTGAAATATCGCTCCCTACTTTGGCAATAAAAATCGGGCACAGACCGCGAAAACGATTACCAACCTTTGACGGGAAGAAGGCGGACTTTCACTCATTCGAGCTAGTTCTTACTTAAGACAGGCTTCAACGTGATTCAAATTGAAAACACCTTTAACGGCACCTCCATACACGGGACCGACCATGCCAACAGTCATAGAATGCAGAAAATTGAGATCGTAGTCTCTTCCTCGAGCACGCTAAAAGCAGCTGCAGTATCGTCGAAGCTAAAACATTACATAGTCTTTGAAGTGCTTCGTGCATGAATTGACAAGTCCCATACGCCGGTATGGCTCAATGAAATCGAAGCTTCAAAATTGATAGCTTAGCGGATCAATCCGACCATGTTCCGTGTTCGAACCTTGCCAAACTTTCAGCTGACCACAAATTCACTTTGAAGGTGTATGACGCATGACTTTAGTCCGTCGGACATTTTTCTTGGTCTTCTTTGCCACCCTGTGAAGCAGATATCTCCAATCCCCAGGAAGCCCAATCGATACGTAGAGACCGGACGGTACTACCATCCGAGTACATCTCGATCCGAGTTATCACCACAGGATCAGCCACCATCTTAGAACCTGGCCAATTCGGGCTGTCTTTGCCTAAGAGGTCATATGGCTTGTAGCCATAGCCTGGAGGACTCCCCCAGTTCGGGCTCCAACTGTTCTTAAACTTGAACATTCGGTCAAGGTCGTTGTAGCCCACGATCTCAACATAGTGACCACCATCGTATTCATCTCCGGGAACAGGTAAAGTGATAGGGATGTTTCCGCCGTTGTGGTGCTGTACACGTCAAACCCGCAGCAGAGCCCTGTACCTGTCGAGAGAACTGACTTCCATCCAGCGACCGAGTTATCGACGAGCGGTCACTCGATCACTTGATTGTGGAGGCCAGTCGTGAATGAGTTGGGAGTCGGACGATCCCAGTATGGCTTTGTGAGAGGCCACTCGAGGTTCTACGTGAGTCCATGTGCTCGAAGCGAACTGATACCGTCAATTGGATAGACACCGCTGTCAGGTTGCCGTCAGGTTGAGGCGAGGAATTTTCGACCAAGACTCGAGTACAATAGTGCAAGAAAAGCTCCGAGTATTTCGCTCCGCCCGCCATTCCTCTTAGCGATTCTTTCCATCAAAGCTGTCAACCCGAAGGCGACGCAGGCTTGTAGTGTTCCCTGGTTAGACACATGGCTGTCGCCCACGCTGTTGTCTTGCATGTTCAGCAGGTCTCTTTTGAGGTTTTCAGGATTGAAACGCATGACAGGTTGTCCGTCTAGAAGCTGCGGTGGCGATCGTAACCATACTAATCCTCTGTGAACATCGGATTCGCCATTCAGAGAAGAGTAAGTGTCATCGGATGCTATTTCTTCTTCAGCAAACCAAATGGAGGTCTAAGTAGTTTGGGGATGAATAAGAAGTCCTTTAGACTGTTGACGACTAGAATGGTGTCTGTGATGAAAGGAATCTTTGCCTTAGAGGTCTCACAGGAGTAAGTAATTTCAGAACTTCAAAGTCTGTCTCGATGTCTATACATTGAGAGCAACTTAATCAGCCGTAGCTGAAAAAACTGCATCAGCCGTAGCTGAAAAACTGCTTCAATCTTGGACTAGCAGTCCAGTACCGGGCGTCTACGTAATGCCCACCAACCAGCCGTACGGCCCGATCATAGAATTTCTTCCGACTAAATGGTTTCCGCCTAGCGAGAATACTAATCAATAACAAGTGCAACGATATCAGACCTTTATTTCATATGCTCGGCATATTAAAGTGGACGCAAGGCTGTTAGAGCAAAGTCTTCACTTCTGCTGGCGATGAACCATGGTATTGACAGACACGCAGGAATTCTCCACAGATAGAAAAAAGATATTGAAGCCTTTCAACTTTAGCACGAAGTTGAAACGACTGGCAGGGCAAAGCTATGGAGTTATAAATGTATGCTTGCTATGCAACCGACAAAAAGGATTTGGACGAGCTGGAGGTTGAATCCAGGACCCCCCGCAAGCTATCATGATGAATGCGAAGCGGCTATGTATGTAGTTGTCAGTGGAACACTCATGTGAGGAGTGGAACTATTGTACGTACATGCGCTACCACTGCGCCACACGCCCTTTTGTTTAGTTGCTTTCGTAAAGGTGTTGATATGTATAGCAAAGTTCGTCCATTGGAAGTGATTGGCGGAACAGAGCAGGGAGGGTTAGTGTCGGAAGGTGAGGCTTACGAAAAAGCTGGAGCTTCAATCAAGGGAGTAAAGAAAGTAGGACCAAGTACAAATAATAGAGAGGGAGAAGGGTATGAAATAGAAAGGGAGAGCCTTAATCTAATGGGAAAATAATCCTAACTTGGTTCAAGGAATTGAGATGCCAATCCATAGTATATCAACCACTGTTGATAAAACGCCGCACCATATGCTCTCTATGCCTCCCGCCAACTTAAGCCGATGAAAACAAGAAAATAACGCAAGTCATCCATCTACAGCCCTATTGACTTCCTCTTCTAAACTTGCCAGGTTGCGGAGATACTCACTTAATATCTCCTGGGCGCCTTGCAATTCGCCCTTAGTCATCCATGTGCCTTCGTCGTCAGGAAATCCAACCCAGGAAACAAAGAAGTACCTAGTTCCCGTGCTGTCGTCATGCGAGAGGATGTGAGAAATCTCAAACTCCTCCTCCTCTTCTTCGCCACTCCCACCCTGGACAGGAGACTGGCGGACAAGAGGAACGGTATGGTTTGATGGACCCACGGACGCAGTAGCACTGCGGGTGTTACGGGTGTAACCATTTTCTAGCTGGATTTGCCGCGTCACACTAGATCTAGAAGACGATGAGCGCGAGGCGCGCGTTCTGCCCCGCATTGAGGGAGAAGCACCGTCTAAAGTATTCTTAAATCGCTGTGGGGTTTGAGCTTGAGCGTGGGATTGTGATTGAGACGTCGATCTTGAAGAAGTTGAAGTGGAAGCCCGGGAGGGAGGTGCCATCATTCCGTACTTGGCAGCCTTCTTGGGCGTCAAGCTTGTGTGAAAGGGGCGAAGCGTCAATGGCCGTGTTATCCCACCATCCTGTCCCAATAGTTCAATGCTATCCACCATATTCACGTCCCCTTCTCTCCTTGCGAGTTCATCCGTATCATTTTCAATTTGGCTCTTCTTCGGCTCCTTCCGCGGCCTGCCCGGCTTGCGGCCAAAGGAAGGAATGACTTTTGATGTATCCTTGCCGCCCTCTATTTTTAGCTTCTTCGGCAGCCTGCCAATCGGCTTCTTTTGAATTTGTTTTCGTTGTTCTTGCCGACTAAACCGCTCAGACGATTGGCTGCGTGAGGAAGTTTGTGCGCGCTGAGGGAGGTCATCAGGGTGTGGGTGCTCGTATCGTGCGTTTTCAAATCTCTCGATCGCTCGTGCGGATATATATTTGTCGATGTCGTAGAGAGATACTGAGAGGTTGGAGAACCGATTGCTTTGTGTGGTGATTGCTAGCGACAGTTCTGAAATTTTCGGTGGCACCCTATTGTCATTGTGTTCATCTTTCCTCCGTATGATGTACTCAAGATCTCCGTCCCTGTTCTTTACCCGGTCAACGAGCTCGTACCTCTCCCGTCGTGGCGGCGCATCAGATGGCAAAAGCGAGACACGTACTGCATCGCGACGAGGGAAATATTGGAATCGTTCCTTCGCGATCTGGAGTTCGCCTAACAATTGTGAAGCGGGATCTGGTGGATTGTTGTCGCGGTTGGTAGTCTGATGTCGTTGGCCCTCATCTTGGCGGGCCATTCTTAGTTGGAAAATAAAAGAAACGTTGACGACTTTCTTAGTGAGAGCGGGGAATTTAAGGGTTTATTTAAAATCAGGCTATATTAGAAGCTATTACTAATATAGAGTAGCTTTTAAGATTGATCTAGTCTTTATCTATTTTTATCCTATAGATTAATTATTAATTCTTCTCGAAATTAGATCTAGTACTAGATAATATATTACTAGTCTATCTTAAATACTTTAGAGTTACTATTATTACTATAATAAGAATAAAAAGAGCTTATTACTATTTTAAATAGTTTACTAAAATAATAATAAAGTAGATATGTACTATATCTTACTTATATTTATAAAATAGCTAAGGCTAGGTATATTTACAATTAAATTAAGTAGTATTTTAAAAAATATAAAATGTAACTAAAACTAATAGAACTAGCTTTACTTAGTAAGTTAATATTATGATAAAACAACAAGGTATATCCTTTTTAAGAAATTAATAAACTAAGTCTCTAAGACTAAGATTTCGAAATAGAACTTGAAATAGAATAGAGAAGAAAGGCGATAAGAAGAGAGGAACTCTTTGACCTTAAATAACCTCTTCTCTAGTAGTATCAAGTTCGACTTCAGAACTTAATAATATCGCTAATTTACTAATTCTTCTTTTCATATAGCATCGCTAAGCAATAAAGGATCACATCGTCAACTACATACCCCAAATAAAACTCTTTCCACCACTAACGTATTGTTAATCACAGCCCCAAATCACAAACGCCTCTACAGCTATCCGTTCGTCTTCAAAAACCCACTCTCGGGTTTATATAATATTTCCAGATAGACCCCAAAAAGAGCCATGTATGACAACGTACTTCCGAACTGTAGTAGTTATCCCCATGGGAGTGCCGGATTCGGGAGATGAAGGGACGTCTCCTCCGCGTGTTCGAGGGAGCACCTACTCTGTGCAAGGACCAAACACGAAATCCTACTCGACAGGAATTGCACCCATTCAGCAAGGCTCTCTTTTATCAACGATAGCAAAAGGTTCTCTCACATCTGTTTTATCGGCAATAAAAACAAATCTGTAATTGCCAAAACGATATAAAAGAATACTAAATACAGTCACGAATCCAAACACACCTCCTCCCATCACTCCACGTTCTACGTGTACCACGCTGGACCACGCACGCCTCTACATATACTTTCAGAAAGACCGCAACAAGTTAAGCGAATAAAACTTCTACTCCTGTGGCTGGCCCTCGCAGCTGCCATACATTATTTGGCAACTAGAATAACTCCGTAAAGTCCACCAGCACCACAGCACACACCGCCACATGAGGTTCCTCCGCGATTTGGCCCACAAAATCCATCAGTACGAAGAGGTGGGCAGATACCAAATGAGGGGTCACATTGTTTGCTGAACACCAAAGGGAGCTGCCTCCGCAAAAACCGTAGGTCGAGCAGCTTATCCAAATGGATAGCATTCATGTTCAAGAGTTGTGTTACTGGGCACCCACCAGCCCCCAAATCCGCTGCCAGTGCAGATATCTACGCCAGAAGCACTGCTTGCACCGCATGTACCGTCCACGGATGTGGGTAGACAAGTGCCGAAGTCTGGCATCGCATTCCGATTGTGCACAGTAGTTAGGAGTGCTACCGCAATATCCGCTTGTGGCCATAGTCAGTGAGTGATTGCCTTAAATGTATGAGGTGAAGATGTACCAGTCTCCAAACTCGCTACCGTCGCAAGTCGCACCCTCAGGCGAGTTGGAGCCACAGAGGCCATCCTCGGAGATGGGCGGTGTTTGTGCCACAACAAGTGCTAACAGTGCTGCGATCGAGAAGAGGGATTTGGTAGCATAGTGAGTCTTTTGAATGGAGTTGAAGAAGCAAGTTCGAAATGAATATCCTCACGGTTTTCCGAGATAGCAGTGGGTATTGTGGGATGATATACCCATTTCTCAACACTTGTCCGTCCTGAGGCACACTTCATCACCTAATTAGACTCTGCCGTTTTTTAGACATGTTTGTGGCTAACACTGCTCCAGTACGCCACTATTGAATCTTCCAAGCCATGTCAGTATGCGAGAATCCTTCAAGCCATGTCAGTGTGCGAGAATCCTTCAAGTCAATTCAGTGGGCGAGGACTAGGTGGAACACGACTCTTCCCTGGACTGGTATTTGTTGTAATTGCACGGCGCGGAAAACGCCAGACTGCAAAGTGGTCATGTGCTACACGGGTCGGGTAAATCTTTCGCGCACTGTGCATCTTTCGAAATCTGCGACAATAGGGTGCCAACTGCTCGGAACTTGAAGTGACAAGGAGTGGACATGTTGTTTTGGTGGTAGGGGTGAAATAGGGGTAGCGTCCCGTCCCGCTCCCGTGGCTTTGCAGAAGAGCTTGAGTGGAAGAAAGCTTTATCTTGCTAAGGTCTAAGCTCCCGTCCAAACCCTGAACGCCACCTGCCAGCCTCGTGAATCATCTTGTCCATGTCCAAATTTTCAGCTGACAAGAATCTCAGGCGTGAGTATTGACTATACTCAGCTCTTGGTTAATTCAATTCGCCTCAATTTTTTTTGTTAGTTAGGACGTGAGTAGACTACTTGGGAACTCAAGCAGACATACACAGCTAGATATCGAGGTCGTAATGGACATGGAACGAAGACTATCCCAGAACGAATTGAGCCGAACCAAGTCTAATGTTGATCTCTTCCCCTTTTAGAAATCCTGCATGATGGAAGTTGGTCGTTCCAACGGACGGATACTCCGCCGTTCGTATTCTCTAATCGAAGGCGAACTATGCAAAAGCTAATCTGCCTTAGCCGAGATTGTGTTTCAGCTATCTCGCCCCAAGCTATCACTATCCGCGGAACGCTGGGGACTTTTCAAGCAACTAAGTTAGAGTTCATGCTACATTCCAAGTTGTGCAGTTAATTCATTACAACCTGCAATTCTGTGGATCTCCCTAGGTCACTGAGATCAAGAAGAACAATCCACGTGTTCATGGTTTTACAGTCGACGAAAGGAATTCATGAGGTCAAGTCTTTCCAATATCGTCTCTACAGGATCTAATCGAGTCGCTTTCTTTTCATCCACTGTCACCAATTTACGGATCACTTAACACCCAAGCATGATCTCTCGTTCCACATGTGTTTCTTGCTTATATAGGCAGATGTACTTTGTTCTATCCAACGATACTAGATTGCAAAACCAACTAGATCAACGCTTTGGAAGGTCTGGATCTTATACTGCTGTGGCTAGTGATTACGCAGTGGTAACCTCTATCGACTACGCAAGCTAGTTGTCACTCATAGGCCATGGCCAAGCTGGAGAGTGCTCAAAGTCAATTGGGCAATAGCTTGTTGATGAATTTCTCTTGCTGGGGTGTCACGTTTGTATGTCTAGGATCTCGATATCAGCTCGTCATATGGACATGTTCAGGGGCCTAACATCAATACTTGTTGAACTCCTAGCTACTCACATCCTGCAAATACTTTGTCTATTTTGACCCCATCCACGACTAGGACCTCGTACGGATTCGACTGCTTGAGCCCAGTCCAAACCAAATTTGAGATTTCAAACCAATCTCCCCACCTTTCTCATTCGCTTGGTAGTTAGTCAAGGGCCACAACACGCAGCACCAATGTGCGGAGTACATCCAGTGGTACTCGACGGAGATATAGGCTGCCAAATTTGGTATGACGAGAAAGCAAAGACGTCACCCTTCAATTGGTCCTTCACAGAGTGGATGTCAAGTCGGCACAACTCGCTGAGCGAAGAGGCAATTGGCCGACAACGGCGAGACAGACGAATAGCTAGTTCATGAGTAAAGGAAACTACCTAGACTATTATGAACGTGTGAAACTAGTAAGGCTCCTAATATGGAGTTCAATATAGCTATTTCGAGGACCCCATTAATCAATCTCACGACCAATCTCCTTCATCATCGACAGGTTCGCCTTGAGTGGAGGCTCTCAAGTGCTCATGGACTGATCAAGGCTCGTAATTATAGTCAGGAATGTAATTGGTGTTAGTGAATGGCGTGTCTTTCAGTAGATGTTCTGCATAATTGTTGTAGTTGTTAGTTGCGTATTCTTCCGGATCGTGGTAGTTGATCCCGCCTTAGAGTATAGATTGGCCAAGATGTCGGGGTGCTTTGCTATAAACTCCTAGTCTGTTTGGTGAAGCAATTCGCGATTTTTGAATCCCATCATCTGGGCACAGGATAATCGCTCAAACTATTGATATCTCTTTGGTTAGTATATGTAGCCTCTAAGCTGCTGCCGTTCCTCCACGACGATTGTACATACCTTAGTTTATTGTGTACCATTGTGGCAAAAAGCACGTAATCACAGCCTCTAAGATCGAGACATGTAGATGGAGACCAGGCATCTTCCATTGCCATAGTTTCACCTGGGCCAGAAGTGGGCCAAAATAGGTGGGCAGCATCGCTCAATTGAACAACGCGACCGCCAGTCGACACCCACTGCGGCTGCGGGTTACGCCACATCGTTTTCCAGTCGAACCGTATGCCATTGGGCGTAGTTTTGATAAACTCTGTAGCAAAGTCATCCCAGCCCTTGACAGCTTCGAGAGCATTGTCAATTGTGGTAGGCTTAGACCAGCTCTCTTCCGCATCGCTGTTGCGATCCAGGGGGCATTGTCAATACTTGGTAGGGAAATTGGATGAGTTCGAGTGTTAGGAATATGTTTACCCTGCAAGTCAGCATTCATGTAGCATTCATGTCGCATCCTATTTGTACCTCCCAGCTAAAAACGAGCGTCTGGTCCTGCGTAGAATAACGAGCGCTCCGGTTTATCTTCAAGCTTTTCCGAAATCAGAGGGTTCTTTAATGCTTCCTCTATAGGGAAGGTAACTCTGTACAAAACAAACCCGTAGCTGATTGGAGAGGTGTACGTGCCTGGGAATAGCTTCCAGGACTTTGAAACAATACTATCAGAAGCAACAACGAGGTCTGCCGTGTTCTTGCGGCCATCTTTCAGGGTGATCCCACCCTGCTTTTCATTTTCAAAGAATTCTTGGCCAGCTGTTTCGTACTCAACTGACAGGCCTTGTTCGGCAGTGCAATCGCGCAGTACCGAATGAAATTTTCTACGATTCACAAGAAGAGATTGACTATTGCACCACCGAGGAGGAAAGGCGCAACACCAGTGCCGTCCTACTTTTCAAAGATTGCATCTGGCTTTGATGCAAGTTCACGCAGACGCTCCTCGAAGTGAGGCCACTTCATTGGGGTTTTGAGAGCAGACAGGGACACAACAACCATCTCACCTGCATCTGACGGAGTAAGTTATGAAGACTCTGATCAATTCGCGCCTTAGTTCTGCTAACCAATTACAGTGGATTTTGACTGTCGTTCGAAAACCCGAACATGATGACCCTTACGATGCGCTTCAATCGCAAAGGTCAATCCCACAATTGCTGCTTCAACTACGATAATGGGAAAGCTTTAGCTGTGCGGAGTAAGTCATATTGAATCTGAGATCCCTGTATTTGCAAGCAATAGCACTTCGATCAAATGAAGATGGCATGTTGCGACTCTCATGACGATTTGATATGAATAGTGCAAAGCCTGCATTCGTTACGACTTCGAAGGGACGGTCATAGCAAAGCCAAAAGCTATTACATTTCACTTAATTCAACCTTCCTTAAGGATTATATAGGTTGAATATTTTTATTAAACAACACCTTCTCTTGAAATATTGTAATGGGCGTTGAGATTTTGGACTTATAGATTTTCTTGCTTCTCTGGCAATGAAAATCGCCGCAATGGCGCAGTGGTAACGCGTAGCACTTGTAATGCTAAGACCCCTGGTTCAATTCCAGGTTGCGGCAGACAATTGGTTTTACCAATTTTTTACTATAATAGCCTAGCATGTAAACCTTACGATAAGTGTACGAAAATAGTACAATAATTGGTAGTTGATAGAGGCTAATATAGCGAGTATTGTAATATTAATAGAGGCGAAAGTAGGTTTTAAGTTTTAGACCTAAAGGTACTAATAGTATAAAGTAGGCTAGAACTTAAACTCTTAAAGTATATCTAATTCTATTTTATAATATAATCTCTAGTTTTAGATCTCTACTTGTAAACCTCTCTATAAATCTAGTATTATAATAAAGTAGTTCTTACTATATCTACCTCTTACTACTATAGCTTTAGCTCTTTCTCTTAATAGTATATATATTACGTCTACTACTCTAAATACTATATAGATATAACTAGAAGTAATTAGCCTTTATATTTTATTAGGTCAACTCGAATATAGTATTAAAACTAGTTATATCTAACTTGTATAAAGCTTAAGGGTCGATCTATTTACTATAGTAATATTCTATATCGCCCTATCTTATAGTAGTAAGTAATATTTCTTTAGTTTTAATATCGATACTACTATCTATTTTAATCCTAATCCTACTATATTTAATATATTCTTATTATAAATACTAGCTTATAAGATTAAGGTTACCTAGTCACGAGAAAATCTAAGAGATTAATATATTTACTATAAGAAATTAAGTAAATAATCTAGAGTAGCTATCTTTAAAGCCGAATAACTAATATTTACAAATATTTTATCTACGCTATAATTAGATATCTAGCTATATATAACGAACTAATAGAAGAGAACTAGTAATTAATAATAGGCGGCTTAGGTCTATTCCTCGCCTAGGTCTTACGAGGGTTACGGAGGCGGGGCTAGAGTAGGATTAGGGCTAGGAGTATCTATAGCTCTAGTAGGCCGGTAGGGCGCTTTTTTTATCGGTTAATACCTACTAATATATAAGCCTTAGGGTTAGTATAGGCTAGGCCTCTAATCCTAATCGGCGAGTTAGAATAGTAATAGCTTCTATTATAGAGTAATACCTTAAGTAGGGTTTCCTACGGTCCGGTATAATACCGGACGGGTCGGGACGGGCCCGGGACGGAACGGGTCGACGGGACGGGGTCTAAGGGTAGAAACCCGTAACCGTCCCGTCCTAAATAACTCGCAACCGTCCCGTTAATTAACGGGCTACCGTTTTATTTTTTATGGTAGTTTTTATGGTAGTATAGAGTGCTTAGAATTTATTAAAAATTTAAAATATATTTTTTATTGATATTATTTAATTTATATAATTATTTTAAGCTTAATATACTATTAATTCTCTAATAAATTAACTAATAGATATTAAAATTATATAAAATTATACTTTGTAGATAGTAATATATACTTTTACTTAGTTAATATTAGAAGTCTCTAGGAGAACGGTATCCCGAAAAAAACGGGTCTAGAATCTCGTTTTTTTTAACCCGTTCCGCACCCTCTACCGTTTAGACCCGTACCGGCACGGTACGGGGCCCTAGGGTATAAACCCGCCCCGTTCCGCCCCGTAAGGAACCCTAACCTTAAGTACCTCCTATATAATATAAGTTACGTAAATAATAGATAACCGACTACCGATAGTACTTATTAGCTACTACCGGCTACTACTAGTTAACTATAGCTACTACTAGCTAACTATAGCTACTACTAGTTAATTATAGCTAGCGCGAATAAACCTTAGCTCTACTACTTTAACTTTAGCTTGTAGCTATAGCTCTACGAGTATCTCCTTTCTTTAAGAATATACTTATATCTTAGAACTATTTATATAATATCTTATATCTAGAGTTTAATATATCTTTTATACTATCTTTATATTACTCTCTTCTAGAGCTTTATAAGCTACTATAAGGACTATTTCTATTCGCGCCGTAAGAGCTTCTCTATATCTCCGACCGTAAAAGGGTAATAGACGTACGACTAAGCTCTACGTCTTAGAGTAATACTATATAGCTTTATATATATACGCTATTAAGACGCTAATATACCGCTAATATAC